GTATAGTGTACAAAGCATTGAGTATTCTACATGTTACAGTCATCTAATGATCATCTATTATTGGCTAGAAATTTCTGTTTCACCCTGCACGTAAGCTTTTTAAAGAAACACCAGATTTCTTTAAGAAAACTATCTTCACGGGGTAATTATAACATCGTTTACACTAAAACTATGATTTGATAGTTTGTTACCAAGTGCTCTTAAAATGATTTTCTGTTGCACTAAAGCCATGAAAACTTCACACATAAAATTTTGGGCTACCATGGGAAAAGAAAAAGAAAGATGAACACTTTGGGTCTTTAGCTAATTCCTCGTTCTCCACCTTATCAACACTTTCCAATGATATTGGGTTTGTTTTTTGTTTGTTTGAAGTTAAGCACAAAGCTACACAATGGGCTATCTGTGCTCTGCCCATCACGGGTATTTAAACCCGGTTTCTAGCGTTGTAAGTCCGCAGACATACCGCTTTGCCACTGGGTTGCAGTGATATTGGGAGTCTCTCAAGCTGTGAATCACTCGATAATGGCAATTAGGTAATCAAATAAGACAATAACTCAACTTTAGCAGTTATTTGTAAGCATCATAAAGTAATAGATTGAATGCGGTAGCCATTTTTTTCTCGGCTTACCCTACTACAGCGCTAATTAATTGTAGATTTACAAGGTTGCCTCAAATGTTTTTTCACATCGAAAATGATTTTATTACAGATATCACTACTTTTTTCCTTAAACATAGTACGTACAGTACTATCTGAACTGTCCTTTTAATGTCACCGGTTTTAGCTGTTGTTTGTCAAACCCTAGATAGAATATATTTGGTGTGTAGTTGCTACCGCTCACTTTTTCGGGAAAGGCTGATTTCCAAACAAAACCACGTGAGGCAGCTGTTGGGGTCCACGTTTAGAAACATGCGCTTTGCCTGCAACTTCAAGTGTAACCACGAGGTTTAAGTCACAGCGTATTGTAGAAAATTACGCATTTCCTGGCTTATTTTGTTGTTGACGTATAATGTTTTTTAGTAAAATATCGTGGAAGTTTGGATGTTGTGTAATGTAAATACGACGTTTTAAAAGTCGCTGCATCTGTATAGAAAAACACGACAGAAAAAGAAGAAAATAATACCTTTTTTGAAGAATTGAGAAAAAACAAGACAGTCGTACGTTTCACGAATACATCATTTATCACGACCATTGTTTCGCTAGTAAAGGCATCATCAGGTGGATAACGTACGGGGTTAGTATCAAAGGGTCCAGGGTACGAGACGTGATGTCGTTAAATACATTTTACATTTTCAGCTGGTCCGTAGTTCAGAATTAGAGGCAGCTATACCTAATCTCTAAGGATTTAGTCCACGTGCACACAAGGTGCTATTCAGGTTGAATTAAAAATTCCATTTCTCAAGTGCCACGAACCTGAAACATATTTCCGTAATAAAGAATAATAATAATAAAACGTTGTTAGATGTTTGGACAATACACCGCTCCCTATAGCAGATCTCGAGATTTATAAAATGCACACTTTTTAACCTGTTGAAGTAAATTTTAGGTATCCTCACTTTATACGTGTGGTATACTGGAGGAGGTTCTTACAGAAAACTTAATGTGACTCAATCTGCAAGAAGAGTGGAGCATATATATCCTGCAGGTAGTGAAGGTGGTACAAATATCAACCATGTCTTGTGAGATGCTGTTTTGGGGACTTTTCCATAACTGGAGAAATAAAACTCATAACCAATTCTTGGATTAATTCATTAATAGTTTATCACAATCTTCATATCAAGCCTAATTCATATCAGTTAATCTCTGTAATAACTAAAATAGCGACAACTGTAACTCTGTAAACAGACTTTTAAACATGCACATAGTTTCTCCAATTGTTACACTATGGATTAAAGAACTACAACACCAGAGCAGAACCAATAATCATTTGAGTTTCACTCATTTTTAACCAATTTACGTAGAAACAACTTTATCTTCTAACTTAAAACACTCATTGCAAAGTTCTTACCGTAAAATAACTCCTAAAGTAGCTGAATGTTTCTGTACCTGCGATTTGACCCTTCAAGGTTCGGCATATGGATTGAAATTTGCCCTTATCTCGCCATTCACTTTCTTCGGCAAACTGCTTCCACCATCTCTTTTTCTGGCTACACTTTGTGGAAAATATCCCAGTGTTGTAAGCGCTAACCCTGCTCACTGGAGGCATTCGTGGAATCCATTCGAAAACTTTTGATTCTTCAGAACCTAGCTTAGTAATCCAATACTGTGGATCATAAATGTTCATTTTATTTCGTGAAACCAACTCATGTTGTTCGTTCTTATCAGAACTCTCGCTTATTTCTTCTGAAGACATAGTGAGCTCTGAAAGTTTTTAGTGCTGAATTTGAAAGCTTATTTCTAGCTTGCTGCTTGCTCTTAGTGCAAAGTCGAGTTTAAATTAACACAATAAACACTGCAATTTTCGAATGGACAATGAGAGAATCCAAACGATAGCTATCAGTTTCAACTTGATCTGCTTTCAGCTTCCTAGTGACAACCAAGACTGGAGCTTTACAAATAAAGAGTGCAAAAAAAGGCATTTTTCAGAGGTGATATAAGCCTATGAAACCGCCACCAGAACGAAGACTGCCAAGAACATGCTCGTTTCAGAAGCTAAAGATAGACTTTGTTTAAATATATAGCTCCTACTTAAGTGATAAATAAAGTTAAAACTGTCAAGAGGATCATTATTTCCTTTAGCTTGAACAATACAGTACCAATTCAAAGTATAAGATTTAGCTAATACAATCAGTAATAGAAAAATGAGTGATTTTGATAATAAAATTACACACACTTATTTAAGCTTGTTTTAGGTTTTTATTGTTCACCCAATATTTGAAGAATAGTCGTCCCTAATTTGAAGCTGATACATCACAAGGAAGATGGCCCGGCATGGCCAGGTGGTTAGGGAGCTCAACTCGCAATCTGCAGGTCGTGAGTTCGAATCCCCGTCACACCAAACATGCTCTCCCTTTCAGCCGTGGGGTTGTCATAATGTGACGGTCAATTCCACTATTCGTTGGTAAAAGAGTAGCCTAAGAGTTGGCGGTGGATGGTGATACTAGCTGTGTTCCCTCTAGTCATACACAGCTAAATTAGGGATGGCTAGCACAGATAGCCCTAGTGTAGCTTTGTTCGAAATTCAAAACAAACACAAGGAAGATAGCTAGACAACAGCACCCACTGCCAACCCTTGTTTACGAAAGAGTGGAATTTCTCTCTTACAGCGCAATCACAGTTCCATAGTACCTTTTTGAGGCACTATAACCAAAACCACAAATTCCTTAAAATACAGTACAAGTACGCTAACCACAAAGGCCATGTCCTGTACTTTTTGAATTAAATTTGTGTTACTAACCTTAAGGAAATCAATATTCATAGATGAATTAATTGAAAGTTTAAGACAGATCAAACAGACGTAATTAAATAAAGGTAAATATGAGTTTTTCGGTAATTGAAACTAGTTTGCTTAAACTTCAAAATGCAATGAATACTAAAGTATGGTTATGACATAGTCGTGTTGAACCACATGAGACTTGATACAACACAGATGTGTGAAAATTATGAGTATAAGATGTTCATATGTTGAATTTCGAATAAAGCTGCTCAAGGGCTGTCTGCGTGAACCGCCCCTTATTTTGAAGTTATAGACTAGAGAGAAGGTAGCTAGTTAACACTTACCACCGCCAGCTCTTGGGATACTCTTTACTAACCAATAGTGGGATTGACTGTCACATTATAATGCTCTTACGGTTGAAAGAGCAAGCATGTTCGGTAACTGGATTCAATCCCGCAACTGTCAGATTACAAATCGAGAACACCTAACCATCAAGCCATGCCAGACTAACAAAAAGAGTAGAAGATGAAAGATCGTGTTTGCATTTTTAATAATTATTATTATGTAAAGCTTTTGAAAAACTTTAGCATTTCACACACACAAAAAAGAAGTAAAACTCTCAAGGAAAAAGCTCGTATGTAAAAACCCAAAAGTATATAATAAGGACGTTTGATAAACAATATTAGGAATACATCTCTCTTGGTAGAGAATCATTTACTGATTAAACAGTATGTTGCAAGATTACAGGTATAACGTAAATTTAATACAAAAGAACTAGTCTTGTTTGACTGTTTTTAGTGCAAGGTACAGTCGACCGCGGGAGATCGAATCCCGGATTGTAATTCTGTGAACTTACTGCTGTCCTATAGATGAATAAAGGCTATTCACTGGCACTGAATGTAATCTAACTGTATACTGACACCATTAATATCTTTAAACCAGCTTTATCCATCTGTAAGTGAAGCTTTCACAAATCCCAACCGAAATCGTTAGGCAAGCGTTGCTTTGACAGAGTACATGGGTGATTCCGTTTATCTTTAATATTAGCAATATAATTTGAACAAACGTTTCCTTGTAAACGACTGACCTTTTTAAAGAAGATGTAAGTAAGGATTAACGTTTATGTTCCATTAATAATAAGTTATATGTTCCAAACTGCGATTAAACAGGACAAATACATACTATTCGTATTATTCACGATATATTTTCTTGTGTCGGATCTGAATCAGTGCTTAATTATTCTTTATTATTATTTTTTGTTTCTTTCTTGTTAAGCACAAAGAGATATTTGTGCAGTGCCCACCACGGGTACCGAAACCCGATTTTTAGCGTTGCAAACCTTCTGATTTACCGCTTAGTCACTGGGGAGGGGGGCGACTTGAATGGAGTTATCTTGTTCGAATAGTTTCTTCTCTATACAAGCGGCATAAATAGAGCTATCATGTTCGAATAGTTTCTTCTGTATACAAGAGGCATAAATAGAGCTATCATGTTCGAATAGTTTTTTTCTGTATACAAGCGGAATAAACAGAGTTATCTCGTTAAGGGATCCTAAAAGTGAGCCATCGTACAAAGTCTCCTGTGACAAGTCTCGTTTTCTCACAGAAATTTCAGGTCAAGTTTTAACAGGACTTTCTTCCCCCGAGCTATGAACAGTAAATGTATTAGTAATACCATCGCGCAGTTTGTGCCTGAAGATATCCCAGTTATACAGATCTAGTAGCTTTTACTAAAGCGATGGGATGAATATTTGTTTACAATAAGCTCATTATCACATGCTGAAAACAAGAAATAAAGTGGTGGCAATTTGAAAACTGCGTAGTTCATCAGCTCAACATCAGTTAAAATAAGGTGGAACAAAGACAAGCGGATTTTCTTAATGGATAACGTCAGATGTTCATTCCCCCCCCCTCCTTTCACACATCTCGTGGGAGTTTTGATGAAAATACCCCCCTTTTCACAGACCGTGGAAGACTTTTCATCCAACGTGTGAAACATTTGTTTTGTAATCCTAATTTTTTAGAATTAGTGAAATCTCATCTAAAACAAGATAAGTATTTATTTGAAATTGTTTGCTTGTTTTTTAATTTCGCGCAAAGATACACGAGGGTTATCTGCGCTAGACGTCCCTAATTTAGCTGTGAAAGACTAGAGGGAAGGTAGCTAGTCATCACCACCCACCGCCAACTATTTTTACTTATGAATAATGGGATTGACCGTTACGGTATAACGTCCCCACGGCTGAAAGGGTGAGCATGTTTGGTGGGACAGGGATTTGAACCCGCGACCTTCAGATTGGGAGTCAAGCGCCCTAACCGCCTGGCCAATATTTGAAATTGACCTTCACTTTTTTTTCCCCGACACATGTCACAACGTTATCGATTTTTTATTCAAATTAGATAAACCTATATTTGTCCCGTAGACTTGAAGCGAGATAGTAAAACTAAAAAAAAGGCTAATTCTACATATATTTCCAGGCAGCGATAGATTTGACGAAGTATGATATTTATATAATGACTAAATCACAATGACACACTTTGATCTACGTAATGGACATTTAGCAAGGAACACAGATACATTCTAGAAATGTCCTTCTGGTTTTAAAAAATCTGTTACTATCCTTGAGCAATCATCAAGTAGTGTGTCTGTGCGTTTAAATTGTTGTACTTTTTGCGGAACACAATATGATCTAAATACACCACGAGGCCACCCAGGTTTACGACAAAATAAACCTTTCTCACCTTGTATTTCGCTTGCAATCAAGTCACGTGACTTATACTGCTTTTCATGTGTTTTATCCATATTTTCCCTTGTGGCAACCTGCCAATAAACGGTAACTTACTCCATTAAACGCTCCCGATTACTTTTTAGCGATAGTTCGTTTTATATTTTAGCAACTAAATGCGAGAAAAACATGGTAAAGTTACAGTTGTGGTTATGGTTAAGAATAAAGCTACACAATGGGCTATCTGTGCTCTGCCCATCATATGTATCGAAACCCGGTATTCAGAATTGTAAGTTTTCAGATTTAACACTAGATGGGGGTGGGGGATTCATGTCATAGTGATCAGACAAAATTGTTATTTAGTAATTTTATTTTTTTCTAGTGCAGTGGCGTAGAAAGCTGGAGGAGTCCGCCACTTTTCAATATTACCCAGTAAAAATGCATCAAAATTGAGAAAATTACTCTCAAGAAAAGCAGGAAAATGCATAGAACTTTGATCCAGAACCCTAAGGCGAGCTCTGAACTCCAGCCGTAATACGTGCGCCTAGGGCGCACATTCCCTTGCTTCGCTTGGTCAAAAAAACCTTTGGCCTCCCCACTTTTAATTGGTCGCTTACACCCCTGTAATGTTATCATAATGATGTGGAAATGCTAAGGATAAGTTAACCTTATTGTGCTATCAATATATGCTGTTTCTACTAGCTAGGGGCGCGGGTTGACCAGGTGGTATAGCCCTGGACTTCAGATCTGGCAAACCGAATTCAAATCCGAAGAGACCACAAAATATTTCCCGCACTGTAAGCTGTAGGCGAATTATGAGAGTGACAGTCAAACCCTTAGCGTGGATGATAGGATGCTGTTGACTGGCCACCTTTACTGTGACCAGTAGTTCAAAATTAGCGAGAGTTAGTCTTAGCAGTTTTTCTATAAATACAAGCAATGGTCGACTAGATTAGCTCGACATGCGCGAGCGCGCCACCTTCTATTTAGTTTTTGGTCACGTATCGCAAAGTTCAACTTTTTATGAGATTACGAAAAATAAATTAAACATTGACGTATTCATTATGTGGTAAATAATTTGTTTGTTATGGACTTCGCGCAAAGCTACACGAGGGCTGTCTACGCTAGCCGTCCCTAATTTAGCAGTGTAAGACTAGAGGGAAGGCAGTTAGTCATCACCACCCACTCTTGGGCTAATCTTTTACCAACGAATAGTGGGATTGACCGTCACATTATAACGCCCCCACAGCTGAAAGGGCGAGCATGTTTGGTGTGACGGGGATTCGAGCCTGTGACCCACAAATTGCGAGTCCAGCGCCCTAACCACCTGGCAAACAGATACTCGAGTGATAGCTTTCGGTCGATGATTTCCAGATTTTTCGAATCTATGGTCAATTATAATTTCATTAAAAATTAAATAATAGGGGTGAACAATCGCAAAGTTTTTTATTTAAAGAAGGATGACGTTTTGAGCTAGCGCTTTTCGTCAGATCCTACAGGTGGCGATTGTTCACCCTATTATTCAATTTTGGTATATCTTTATCGCCTATGCGGTTTTAACTATATGTTTCTTTTTATAAATTCATTAAACCCAAGAATTATATGTGGGATCCACCAAGCTTTTTAAAACGTATTTTTCTAAACTTCTTGTGGATCTCCAAATTTGTCGGATACAGGCCCTCTAATAACGTGCGGATAACATACAGAATTTAAATTAAGACACTGAAAAATATCACAGTTAATCCCATTAATTACAACCGTTTTTAATGTGTTTTATATAAGTGTTATTTCAGACAACATTTTCGCAGAGTTCTCTACATTCAACGTTGTAACAGACAAAAAAACAACAACATGAAATTACCGATTATGTGGACCCCACCGGCATAAAAAACAAGTCAGTAATTTAAGGGCTTAGAAAGGTTGACTGTGTAATTTGCAGGTTATAGATCAAAACATGCAGGTTTACAAATACATTACTAGAAGCACCAGATGGATAGGTTTACCGCAAAACCTATGAGGCAGGGATACAGTTCTTACCATTTTTGTCTAGATTCCCAAAAATTTCTATATATCAGTGAACGTTGATATTAATATCAGTTTAACTAAGTTGAAAATCAAGTTAATAAGATGATGTATTATTATTATTGTGAAACAAGTGTTTGCCGTAATATGGAAAGTTAAAAATAAAAAATTTGTAAACAGCACACTAAAACGGTCCGAGTCAACGGTAAGAATTATAGTCTGAAGACTTTAGCGGTGAAAGCACCCATGAGCGGTTTCTTGAGAAGCTTTTGTAAATAAACGTTTTGGCTTAAAAATGGAACTTACCAACAAATTAACGACTACTGCAGTTGTATCTTACTTTAGACTTAGATACATGATCCCAGAGAAAATATGTTGATCTCACAATGGATTGTTTTGACGTCACAAAACAAAATGGTCCGAGAGTATGAGAAAAAGTTTTTTCGAAGATTTGAAACTTCTTTTCTAGAATTACTGTGAAACAAAGGATTTCTGACTTTAATACGCGTTTTGGAGAGATCGAAAATCATCATATGAAAACACATCAGTCAGTTTTCGTGTTTTATATAGATCTGCTCAAAGTAGGATCCATAACCTGAATCAAGGTTAACTGTATATCACTTCAAAAATTAAGTTTCGAAACGCAACCAGGTAATGCGATCAATCGGTTACAAAAACATTGATGACGTCATACCACTTCTTTGTATAGTAGTGTAAGTCAGTTACTCATTCTTTTTGGGGGTAAATTTATTTTTGCTCTCATCTACTGTCTTTTACAGTAAAAGACGTAGTTTAGAAGTCTAGCTTACTTGAAACTTTTATATACTTGTGATGGAAACTTAACTGTATGCAAGTATTCAAATTTTCAGTCCTAATAAACATTTAAAAATTCAGAAATTTTACATATACATTTAGGACACAGGAAAAAAACAGCTCAGTTTAACCCTCAAATTATAAGCGTTTTTTATATCATTCACTACCGGAAGGGTTCACGTATTCAGTAACTATGTATTTGTCTTGCAGCGCCCACTGCAATGAATCTAAAAAAACAACATAGAAATCACGCATTTACTATGTACAATACACAAGTAAATAATTACAATATTGTATTGTATTT